TTCCGTGAAGTAAGGTTGTAATAATTCTCTGCCAAACTCTTCTTTTGCGTCCTTGTCAGTATAAGTCTTCTTTTCCTCAACAGCGATCGTCAATTGTGATTGAAGATTGGCAACCAATTGCAACAATTCTTCCTTTTCAGTTGAGATCTTTTTAATTTGCTCGTCTTTTTCTTGCAATTGACGTTTCAGTGTCTCGTTCTCTGCTTGTAGATTAGCGAAATTTGTCACATTAGATTGCATATAAAACTCGTGTAGAGAACGATAGTGCTGCAATTGTGCTTTAAGTAGTGGCACATCCTCTTCCAAAATATCCATTTGTTTCGATGTTGGGCCACTGTTTTCCGAGCAGTTCTCTATGAAAAATCTGGAAAGTAAAACGTTATATTACGGTATTTAGAATGATATAATTCATTTCGGATGATGCAGATGCAACCACTGTTAAAATATATGTATTTGATAAATTTATTAATGAATTAATATATTTGAAGTAAGTTCAAGTTAATAAATATGTAATAAATTTATGTATTTATTTATGTAATGATTTATGTAATTATATTTTTAATTTTTATTTGTTAGGTTTATATTTTTATTGTTATGTTTATGTTTATATTGTAATGTTTACATTTTTATATTTTTTATATTTGTTTATATATTACTATATATTTTGTAATACTTATTTTTTTTTAATGTTTAAAAAAAAATTTTTTCGAAAATATAACTACTATATGTGAAAAATACGTACCGTTATCTACGTGTTGACAAAGGAGGTATTTTCATTGCTGCGACATGGTCTTTCTGGAGAAATGATCTTTTTTCTCGAAGCCGCCTTACGACATCCTTTGTGAATTTTGGAACTGTAAATAAAAATAAAGACAAAGTACTGCAGAAAGTGTGTTTTTATACAATATAGCAATTTTCGCAAAATCGAATAATATATACATACGCAATACATTTATTATGCCTCCTTAATGCGCTTGCTCCTCTGTCATGCGCATATGGCTCAAATTGCACAGATCTAAACAAAAAATCAAAAAATTGAATTTTTTGTAATGCTTAAAATTTATTAAGTAATCATATATTTTGAAGAATGCATATGCACAACGTACCTTTCAAGAAACGTGAAATTTAACTTCCTCGGTGTGTAGAATGCACTTGGTGGTGTATGAATTATTCTAAAGGATTCGTCCAACCACGGATTGCTGTATAAACATAACAAAACATAATATTTATAATTAATTAAAATCATGTGAATGGAGAAATAACATAACAATTGAACATTATAAGCGACTGCAGTCGAAAAATTATGTAACGGTATATGGAGATCCAGAAATAACATTAATCATAGTATACGAATAATTTTCGTTTTACCTTCTAGAGTACATTGTTGGTGTTGTTGGTGGTCACACCATCCACATCACTACCGGTTGTTTCGTTTTCGCCAGATTGGGAAGTACCTAGTTAAGGAGTTAAAAGTTAAAAAATAAAGTTAAATAGTTATTAACTTTTAACTTAACTTAGTTAAATTTAATTAAGTTAACTATGAATTTCAACTATTTATTTATAAACATATATAAAGTAAATTATTAATTTTTTTCTAAATTAAAATCTACGTTTTAAACCATTTAAAAGAAAAAATATTTTAATATAATCAAAATACTTTGTTGTTAATTTATATTGTAATTTTTTTTATTTTCAGTAATTTTATTTTAAAAAATAACGACATTTGTATTTAATATAAATGATGTGTTTTAAAATTAACTTTTAATTTAATTTAAGCTAATTTAATCCAAATGCAAGTTTTAACTGAGTTAGTTTTTCGTATATGCAACTTTTAACTTAACTTAATTAATTTTATAAATCATTAAGAGGATCCTAAATCCTAGATCAAA